CGATTTAAACTGAGAAACAATTATTGTAATTCTTTATAGCAGCAGATTAAACCGATAGAATCTGTCCCAGTCTGCAGATTRTGGTGCACCAAGAGTAAAATAAAATGTTTAAAATGTCACAAACACATTTATTATTTATATGTAGCTGATTATGTGTGTAAAATTCTGCTTTAAATTTTTTAATTTTGTTATTATTTAGCACATTGTTCTTACACTTTGCTAATTTTTACTAAACCTTAACTTAAATTGTTATGTTAAATGCTAAATCCTAAATCTAAATGTGTAAATTTAAATGTAAATGTTAATGGTCATTGAGGCAAAAATGTTTAAATTTACATTTAGATATTTCAGAATGTAAACTCTAGCTGTTGGAGCAGGGCTTTTGTTGTGATGTCATTATCCTGCAACAAATGCTATAAGTGCTACTTTTTTTAACTGAATATAACATTTTGTAAAAATTGCTAACACACAGTAAAAAAAAGAAAGAAACAAAGCCGTTTGTGTTCGGTTGATTTATTATTATAATTTTTTTTGGCAATAAAATGTTGGGAAGCCTGTTTATTTGTTCCTAAATGGTGAAACATTTGTTAGGAAGATGCGTTTGTGGGTTGAGCAGCAGAGTTGTGGATGTGGGTTGATGAAAAACTCTCCAWCTCTTCTCTGCCATTGCCAAACATATTTTGATTTTCTTGTTTTGAGCTTTTGGTACCACAGAGTGCTTAAAACCAAACTCCATCCTCCAAGATGACCCCTTCAGAGTGGTTCTGAGACTACTTTCAGAGGATGGGATGGCCTGCCTGCCTTCCTGACCTGAGTCTTCCAGAGTAAACAACACAMCCACATTACACATCCTCATCTGTGGTGAACTCACAAATGCATCTTTCAAGGAAAGCTTCAAATTCAATAACTTATTATAGATGTAGCATCAGGTTGCAGAGGTGAAGAAATCTAATTAATCCAATTWAATTTTTTGAAGAAAAGAAACATAATGTCACAAGAACTAGCTTCAAGTTATCAGTTATTTCTTTAGATGAAGAAAATACATCGCAGTGCTTTAAGAGTGAGAGGCTTTGCACAAAGTTTACCTCAGAGACGATACAGAGAAATATTTTTCTCACGATTCGTAATGTGAATTTTTCTAAGAAAACTAATATGTTTATTATTTTTTCTCTTGGTTTCTCATCTTGCGCAACAAGCAGTTTTTATTTCCAGTGTATGCAGGTAGTCACGCTGCCTGGAAGCSGTGAATATTGTCTATGATTTTGTGAAGTCAGAGTTGGTTTCCCTGCAGGGCCAGTAAACTGGTTTCACAAAGCATTAGCAAGATTAGTGACTGGGGTTACTGACGTGATGTGAAAAAGCTGCAAACCCAGCATGATCCTACTGGAATGTGATACAGGCAGTTTGTCAACTTCTCATTAGTCTCCTATCAGATGGGCTGGGACAGTTCTCAGAAAATCTGGTTTATCTGTCAACCTCAGTCAGTTTTTGCATTGTGCTTCACTCAGCACAAAACTTTGGACGTCATCATCTTCAGTGAACAAACCTTTAAATATTCTTCTGCACATAGTGACACATCCTAAAACTATACAGTATTTTTAGGGGTTATTTTAGGGGTCACCGCAGGGTACGCCTTGTTTATCTATTTAACTCACCCTACCAAACATCCAACCCTCTGCATATCCTCCTACAACAGGGGTCTGCAACCTGTGGCTCGGGGGCCACGTCAGGCTCTTTGGTCCATCTGCAGCGGCTCTTTGAAGCTTCGACCAAAGCTAACATGAGATTAACCCTCCTGTTATGTTCGTTTCAGAGGAATAGCAATAATGTTCCTGGGTCAATTTGACCCGGGGCATGTTTAATCATGCTATAGTGTCAGAAACAAACAAATAAAAAATCACCCAAAACATTTTTATATCTGCTTATGAACTCCATTACTATCAAATTCAATCAGTATTTGTGAAATGATGATTTTTTTTTTATTTCAGACAAAGGATTAATGAGGACAAGTCACTCGTTTTCCTAAAAAAAAAAGCATGTTACATTTTTTTATGTCCAACACAAAAACATACATAAAAAAGATTATTC